CAGCTGGGCAGTTACCAAATTCTCATCCTGCTCTCAAAGTAGACCTGAGACCAGTTATGGGAGAACAAAGAACACTTCTGAGGAGGTTGTAGAACTTTCTGTCAAAATGTTAAGACAGAAAAAGAGACAATATATATTTAACTACCAATAATAAATATTTAAGCACAGATGAAGTCAGAAAAGTCAGTGAAGGAAAGAGCTGCTCCAGCAGGCTTGGAAAGAATGAGTCAAGGGAACACACAGCACTTAGGGAGATGCTGAACCAGGTTCTGGTGGCAGCTCGTGTGTCCAGTCAACAGAGGGGATGCTAGTGGATGGCAACTGCTTACATCTTCCCACGCTGCTCTCCTTAGGATCTTCCTCTTGAACCTTCCTCTAGTACCTTTTCATGAGAGATAGAGTGGAGGAAAGTGAGCCGAGAGAGGGAACCTCAGTACTGCTGAGAAAGAATTACCACAAATAGAGGAAATTAAGAAAGGTGTGCATCAGGGTTGTATTCTTTCTTCATGCCTGTTCAGGCTTTTTCCTGAGCAAATCATTCAAGAAGCTGGACTTTTACAAAGAAATACCTGTAGCATCAGAATCAGAGGAGGATTCATAAATAACCTTCGTAGTGCAGATGACACAATACTGTTTGCTGAAAGTGAGGAGAACTTGAAGTGCTTGCTGCAGAAGATCAAAGACTGCAGCCTTCCATATAGATTGCAGCTCAACATCAAGAAAGCAGAAATTCTCACCACTGGATCACTAAGCAACATCATGATAGATGGAGAAAAGATTGAAACTGTCAAACGACTTCATCTTATTTGGATCTACAATTAGTACACTTGGTACCATCAGTCAGGACATAAGGAGACATATTGCATTGGGAAAGTCTGCAGTCGGGGACCTCTCCAGATTATTGAGGAACCTTGACGTTACTTTAAGAACTAAAGTGAGCCTGATTCAGGCACTGGCCTTTTCAATCACTTGCTATGCATCTGAGAGCTGGAACAGTGGTGTTGGAGAAGAGTATTACATATCCCAAGGACAGCCAGAAGAACAAACAGATTTGTTTTGGAGAAGGTGCAGCCAGAGTGCTTCTTGGAAACAAATATGATAAAGCTTCATCTCACACACTTTGGGCACGTTGCTAGGAAAGGCTGTTCCTTGGAGAGGGACATCATTCTTGGGAAGGTGGGGGGACAGTGAGCAGAGGAAGACCCTTTATGAGATCAGAGATTGTGGAGATGGCACAGGACAGGACAAGGTTCAGAT